TGCAAACAGCAGGGATTTGGGGGGTGTATTTCAGATGGGGAGGGAACACTTTTCCAAGTCCATGAAGCCTTCCATTTTTTTTTCCACTTCCTTAAAGCCTTCCATTTTTTTTTTTATGCACAAAACGGACTTTGGCTTCCACATAGTTAAATGACTTTCCTCCAGCCTGTGCCCTTCCACTGGGAACTGTATGGTTATTGTCAGAGCCTCCAGAACAGTCTCTGGTCTCTTGACCAGGGTGTTTGAGGGCCATTTTAAATTGTACGTTAGGTTGTATCTACTTCATGCTCTACAACAGGTCTTAATGCTGAGGCTGAGTACAACCCTGGTAGGTAGCTAAGATTTTTCCCTTTACCTGGTCATATTCAAACCATCCTGAGTGATGACAGTGCTTTAGGTTCAGTGCTAAATTATATGATAGTTTAAACCCTTTGTGTGGAGGAGGCAGCCATCTTATCTCAGTTCTATTACATTTTCTCTTCTTTTTATCCATTAGTCAATATTACATTTTTTCTTTACACAAGCAACATGTTTTGTCTTTCTCATTAGTACTACTTAGAAGTTTTTAGTTTTTGACAACTCATAGTAGTTACAATTCCTTTATTGCAAGCAACAGGAAACTCAGACTGGCTTATAAGCTCAAATAAAGTACAGCTCACAAAACCAAAGTCTAGAGGTACTTGAGGCTTTGGGGTTGACAGGGTCTTGTGGCTCCTGCCCCTTCTCTTGCCGTTCTCATAACTCTGCCCTCTTGTACTTGCCCCTTCATCCTCAGCCTGGCCACAGGACAGCTGCAGCAGAGAGACCTCCCATCCAATGAATGACCGTGTTCAGAGAAACTCTCGCCAAGGCAGTCTCTGAAGAACAAGGATATTTTCCCTAGAGGTTCTCAGAAAATCTCTTCTTTTCCTCATTGGCCCAAATGATTACACACTCATTTCTGAACCAACCACAGCCAGTGGGTTGAGATTGCCCTTGACCAGATCAGACCCTCCCCTGGAGCAAGTGGAGGTGAGGAACTGGGTTTGGATCCACTTCCCTGGAGGCCCAGGGGCTCGTTGGCAAAGAGGGAAATGCCAGACAGCGCCAGAGTTCCGAGCAGCAAGGAGGAACAGGAACAGTTGTGGGCAAAGGGTAACACCGCCCTGCCATTTTGGATGTCATGCTCGTGGCCTTGGTGAGATTTTGTTAATTTCTGGTCTTACTCCTCCAGTTTCCAGTTAGTAAGATCAGGCTTGGACATGCCAGGTGATGACTGTAGAAAAAGTTCATTATGTTCAGTATCTTTTGTTGAAGAGAATGAGGTGGGGTGTAGTACATACATGACTAAAATAAACATTTCATTTTTAGTCAAAGGAGTTGAATTTTAGTTTTTTGAAAATAGTCCACAGGCTTTAACTGCCAGAGTTTCCAAGGAGAGCCTGGAGAGATTTTACTGGGTAGACTTACCACACACACCCAAGCTTCCTTGATTCCGCCCAGAGGTGTACCTAATGAGGTGGTTTGGTTTCACCTGCACTTTGGCGTATCTTGAGCCATGGAGGGGCTCGGTCAGATTCTCTGCTTCTCTATCTTCTGCCTTCAGAGGCATTTTCTTTCTTGAGTCAAACCTCACATGGCTGCTGACATTTCAAGGACATAGGCTGTTCTCCAGCTCTCTTCTTTGGTGGTGGGACAGAAATGGGCTCTACAGGAATCTTTAATTTTATGTAAATGACCCACCTTTCCTTCTTCCCCTGGGGTGTTATAAAAATGAGTGTTCTAAAAACATTTTTACAAAGTGTTCCCTTGAGATGCAAAGGAAAGTGCTGTCGCACAGCAGGTTCTCCACAAAAGCATTTAAGTGGGGGTTGGGGGGGAGAGTCATACACATGCCTCTGGCATTTTTCAGGTATTTGGGAATTCAAAAGAAATATATCCTTATAAAAATTATTTTGGCTTTCACCATCAACCAGTTCACAGACCGGGCCTCTGTTCACTTTTCCCACTTGGCTGGCTGTTGACTTAAACAGGGCGCCTCGATGGGCAAGGTTAACACAACAGAGTGGTGTTTGTGGAAACTGACAAAGTGATAAACTAGGTTTGTATTTATTATTACCAAGGATACTTTTAATGTCCTTTTGATGTGCTAATAGTCCTTCCTAAGGAAAATTATGCAAACTATTAATTAAATCAAGAGCAGCAGTCCCTACTGAACGACAATATGCAGATTTGCTGATCTGGATGGACTTGAGCCAGGCAGTGGCCTTTGGCTGCACAGATGCTCTCAGGGGCCAGCTCTCTCGCATCTGGTACCCCTTCCAGAAAGGGTTACGGGAATCCTGCATCCACTGGCCTCACTGGGATCTCAGGGCTCCCTCCCTTGGAGGCTCCAGACACATTGCTCCAACTCACCAGGGAGGATCAACTATAGACCCAAATGACTGAACTCAGGGACTCAGGAAGGCAATACAGAATCTTCCAGATACCCTTTGAATTCCTAAATTGTCACTGGAGTTCCTGTATGGCTTACAACTCTTAACGGAGGTGGGAGAATTATCACATTAAAAACCAAAAGCCAGGGTCGCCTGGGTGGCTCAGTCCGTAGGCATCTGCCTTTGGCTCGGGTCATGATCCTGGAGTCCTGGGATGGAGCCCCGCATTGGGCTCCTAGCTCAGTGGGGAGTCTGCTTCTCCCTCTCCCAGTCCCTCACCCCTCTTTCACTCTTCCTCTAATAAATTAATTAAAAAAAAAAAGCCAAAAAGACAATGTGAGGTGTTTTAACTGGAATCTTGGTTGGCTGAGCACATTTCACCTGCTGGCTACTCATGGTCCTAGGAGCTACCATCTATAAACATGGTGTGACCATCGCTATTACTATCACTGGGCTATTGATGCTCATTCTGGCCCAGGTTGGGCCTGAAGGCACGTAAGCCGATGCTGGGCACACAGAGAGGGCAGCCATGTTATTTCTTGGTTTCAGATGTGCTCCAGTTTCATCCCCAGCCCTGGCCCTCCTGGATGCTTGGTCACACAGGCAGTGTCCATCCAGCCGACTGCCCACTCTGCCAGGTGGGGGACTTTCAGCAGCACAGCTGCAGACAGACATCATGATGCACATTGTTTTTTTTCTCTCACTCAAGGTTTATTCCCTCCCTCCCCAGAATAATCCGTTTGCCTTTTTTCTGCCTAAGCTTTTTTTAGGTCAGTCCTTTTCTCTTTCTTCTCTAAAACGTCACTGAGGGTTGCATTTCATATTTCACAATGTTCACTTTGTGAAATGCTTTCCCATGAAGACCCTCATGACTCCCAAGTCTTGAGCTGGGCACCTGTGTGAAGTTTTGTACCCCTGTCTCTGCTCCATCCTCATCCAGCCACAGAAGCAGGTGGATAAAGGTTCTTCCCTCTTCCAAGAGTATGATCAGAAAAAGGCCATGGAGGTTCCCCCCCAGCCACCGCTCCCTTGTTAGGGGAAACCTCTGAGGCCACTACTGGAATGTAATCCTTTGGCCTAATTAAGACATTTCCTCTAGTTAAAATGAATCTTTCTAAGAGGATTGCTTCAGCATAAATGAGTCACTTGGGCCTTCTAAGGAGGCTTCTGATGAAGCAAAGGATGTCAGGAGATTACGGTGTAAGTTCCAGAGTGGGAATGGTGGGGCCATATTGTGGGGCCAGGGTGGGAAAAAGGTTGAGGGAGGTGGATGGCACAGGCTGGAAGAATATGTTCTGGCCTGACGAGCCTCCTTTGCCTCCCGCTGTTGCTCAGGGCTGGTCCACCCTAGGTGCGTTGGCTTCTGGAAGACGCAGGGCCCTGAGACTAGGTGCAGGGCTTGCTTGCCCTGGGCCCTAATTGACTTCAAGACAACTGGCCTCGGTAGGTTTCCTGGATTCTGCAAAATAATCCACTAACCTAATGACAAAGAAACTGGGCTCTCTGGTTTGGGGAGTTTATTTCCGTTCTCTTTGTTAAACTGACTGGTTGTTCGTGGAACTGACCAAGTGTGTCACTGAGCAGCCTGGTGGCTTTGCCGAAGAATCACAAATGAATGATATGACCGGTTCTTCTCTTCTTGTGTAACAACAGCCACAAAAAAACCAGTCTCTTTTAGTGCACAAGCAAGGCCTCTGGGAATATGGCCTTGTACCTAAGAATGCAGATGCTGGGGTCATCGAGGCCGGGGATCAATTTCTGAAACCCCTCTTTGTTAGCTGTGGGACCACTCCATGCTCTCATCTTTTCATCTGCAAATGGGGATACTAGTAACACCGACCTTATAGAGTTTTGTTTTTTGTTTTTTTGTTTTTTTTAAGATTTTATGTATTTGAGAGAGAGAGCATGAGCGGGGGAGGAGCAGAGGGAGAGGGACAAACAGACTCCATGCCGAGAGCGTGGAATCGAGGTGGGGCTCCACGCAGAGCTCGATCCCACGACCCTGAGATCATGACCTGAGCCAAAATCAAGAGTTGGACGCTTAACCGACTGAGTCACCCAGGCGCCCCAGCCTTGTAGAGTTCTTTAAGGAAGAATGTTCCTGCACATGAAGGGCTCCCCCAGTGCCCAGCAAATACTAAGTATTCAATAGATGCCAATTGCTCTTTTTAATATTAGTCTAAGGCCAGCAGGCCAGCTGTTTAATACCTAGTGTCTTGACAATCAGGAACACTTATAGCATCTTCCCAACAAGTCTAATTTATCCCCAGAGTGGTGTCCAGGGAAGAAGACACAGCTGTGTCTAAAGGTGGCGGCAGAAGGAAAAAGGCCCCTCTCTCCAGTGTCCTATAAACCACCATTGCCATGTAGGAAGCAGCACCCACATTGCATGTGGCCTTCTTGGGGAAGGAGCAAGGATTGGGAATTTGGGGAACTCTGAGCTGGATTGATTCCCAGTTCACTGCTCTCAGGAAAATGATTTGTGTCCACAGTGCATGTGTAGGTGTATGGCCTCAGCGCATGTACATTTACATGCACACATATGCACACGTGCATGCGCGCGAACACACACACACATGTGCCAGGTTGGAACACCACTGCATTCAATGTATTTTTTTTCTTGTCTTCCTTCTTATCTCTTACATCCTTTGCAGTCCATTCGGGCATAATTATTATTGCTTTGCTGGCTCGGTTCTGCAGCTCTCCAGAGTGGAGCAGATGTCGACAGCTCTGAAAGATCCCATGCTATTACACAGCAGAACAAATGAGGATGTCAGAAAAGGCTCTTCAGTCTAACAAGAAAACAGAGGAAAAGAGACAAAAAGAATAAAGCCTTTGGAGACCAGCAGACTCGCTCTGATTAGATCTTATGTTAACATGATGCCCACTCTGCGTACTAAGAGTGATTTAATATGTTTAAACGATACCAGGGAAATACGACTTGGGGAAAAAAAGAGAAAGGAGAATTTCTTCCCTGGCAGGCATGATTAAGATGGTGTGGGCTCCCTAGGAACACACAACTGCAGCGTGAGACTGTGGAATATAGGCCCAAGCAGATTTGCCTACAGTGCTGGACGGGGGTCTCTTACACTGGGCGGCGGCTGCTCTCCCCACCACCCAGGAGCCAGACAAGCTGCTAGGATGGATTACCTGGCTGGTGCAGGGTGGGGTGGTGGTCTCACTGCTGGGCCACTGTGTCTTCTCTTGAAATGGGAGGCCTCACTTTAAAAACATTTTATATATGGGGCCACGAGTCCATACATCCTAATTTTCCCAGAACATAGATACAAAATACTCTATAGGTTTTTGGAAGCGGGGGAAAAGGAAGGCTCTAATCAAATCGATGGGCCAAAGTCCCTGTATTATAGAGAGAGCATACCGGGCAGTTTACTAACTGAACAGGTCCTTCAGTTCCTTGCTCCGAACCTATTTACTCATTTCCGATTTGTAATTCTAACTATTAATGTGATAGTTCTTTCACTAGATCACTGCAGAATAGATAGAATTTAGAATGGCCAACTGTGGGATAGTAGAGATGGAGGGGGAGGCTGTTAGGTCTGTATAAAATCCTGACAGTATCAAAAAGTGCTATCTGATAATTTGACAGTAAATGAGAAGGCACAAATAGGCACAATGAAGTAGAGAACACGTTATACGTTTGTTTCTTTATTTGTTCTTAAATCCTTCCATGGGGGCTCCGAGGCAGTGGCCTGGTAGCTTTTGTTATATGAATAAAGCGTAGTACATATTTCAAAAAATCCCCAAAGAATAAACATCAAAAAAAAAAAAATAAAGCAACTCCCTGGAGGGGAACAAGTTATCAGTGTTCATTGTTGAAATGCAATAAATTGAAAACCCCGGGACATTCCCCTGGGCCCAAAAATGCCTGGACTCTCTCATCCAGATGTTAGGACCTCTCTAGAAGCACAGAAGCCCTCAATAGGAGGAGAACTCAAAGATCACCTGATCCAGTGTTCGTTCCTAACAAGTTGGACGATGCCGGATGCCACCGAATGACATTCCCCTGTGAGATGGGGCCAGTCCATTGTCAGAGTGCTCAAATTATTAGAAAGTTCATGCTTGCCTGGATCTAAATATGCTTCTGTATTTTCACCCACTTGGCCATGGCTCTGCCTTTCAGGACCCCAGGAAGGAACAATCTAAGCCTGTTACACTTACGAGGACAGGGATACTAATACCCACCTTCTCCCCTGCATGCCTCCCACGATAGCTCAGCCCCAATCCTTTCTCATTCTATATAGCTATGATTTCAAGTCCTCAACTCTGTCTGCTTAGAGATGTCAGCTTTATAAGGTGAGCTGATACACCAAAACCTAGCACAGTTCTCTAGGGACAAACTAAAGGGCCCAAAGATAGCCTGGGGCAGTGGTTTTAGTACAAGTGGAGTCAGAACACCGTGTTCACAGCCTGGCTCTTGAATGTGACTTTGGACAAGTTGCTTAATCTCCCTGAGTTTCAGTTTCCTTATCTGTAAAATGGGATAATAGTAGCCCCTGAAAGGTGAGACTAGACGAGGGAATCCATAGAGAGACGTTTACCAGATGGCAAACACTGCAAAGGTGAGCCATCATTTTGGAGGAAGAAAGGTTACTACCTCCCTTATATTTGACCTGCGCTCCCATTACAATCTAAGTTTACGGTGCACTAGTCATTCATTTTGAGCCAATAACCAACTGAAACATTTCTATCATGTTCCCATAGGTTACCATCAAAGCACATCTGCTATTTATTCCATCTTATTTGCTTGTTTATTTTAACCAAGTGCAGGACTTTACATTTATCCCCATTAAACATAATCTTATTAGATCTGGTCCATTGTTTCAGTCTGTCAAGTCTTTTTTCCATCCCAATTCTGTCATCCAATGTATTAGCTAGCTCTTCCAGCTTTGTGTCACCCACAAATTTTATCACCAGGCCATCAATGTCTTCATCCAAGTCATTAATAAAAATAGTTAACAAGGCAAGACGGAGGCCAGAAACCTGTGGTGGGAAAGATCCTTTCTCCAGATCGTCATCAATTAATTAGTACTCTATATTCAATCAGTTACTCATCTACCTGACCGGGCTACCTTCAGCTCCTGCCCAGAGGTGCATCTTGTCTTCAAGGACAGGGACTTTACCTGCCAAACCTACTGCTGCAACCTAAATGCATTCTGTTTGTACAATACCCAAAAACCAGTCTAGCAACTCTCAGAAATGTGCTAAGTCTGGGAAAATGCACTGACTCCTTGCCTCTCACCTGAAGACCATGTCCAGTTCACCTGACCAAAGATCGTCTAACATGCCTGCCTTTTTTTTTTTTTTTTTTTTTTTTTAAAGATCACAGGGGCGCCTGGGTGACTCAGTTGGTTAAGTGTCCAACTCTTGATTTTGGCTAGGTCATGATCTCAGGGTTGTGAGATCGAGCCCCACGTCAGGGTTCTGTGCTGGGTATGGAACCTGCTTAAGATTCTCTCTCTCCCTCTCCCTCTCCCCCCCGCCCCTCGCTCATGCTCTCGTGCCCTCTCTCTCTCTCTCTCCCTAAAAATAAAAAATAAAATAAAATAAATCACAATTTTCCTATGGCTGGGTTTCTAGCACCTTTCCTTAAAGCCTCAGCCCTTCAAAGCAGACAGTGAACCTCCTAGAGTTTAACTTATCTGGCCAGGCCCTGGGACTCCAAGGGGGCTTTTAGAACCTTCCTTCTTACCTGGGCTTCCATTTTTCGTCACCAGCATCTGTGGGAACCTTACCTCTTCTAACTTGAAGTTACTTTCCCGGATAGGGAACATGGAAAGAATATAAATGCTGAACCGGTCTGTTTCATCATCTGTCCCCATACTGTGCCAATAACAATATTGATCAAGCAGTGGACATGGTTTTGTCCTTTACCAAATATTAACTAAAAACTTTTCTTTGTTTGAAGAGTCTGGGTGTCTCTTAGCAGTCCTGGGAGCAGTATCAACAAAAAGCTAGATGGCTCACCACAAGCCAGCTTGCCATGGCAGTAGCTTACTAAGGGGTGTCTGTCCCAGTGCCTGGCTTCCTGACTGTCCGCTGCTTCCATCTCCCACCTGCGGACTCTGGTCCAAAACTCCCATTACCACTGCAGAGAAAGTGTTTAAGATCGTGGAATTCTAAGTCCATCAAATGCCAACACACACTATATATGGGGCCGAGGGCCAGTCTGTAAGGGAGGAACACTGGCAATTACCCCACAGAGTGACTGTGAGGATCACATGACATAATTGCCTTATAAGTACCATGTACAGTGCCTGGCCCATGTGGGGTTGAACAGGGGTAGTACACTCTTACCTTCTGGTTTCTGCCTTGTTCTTGTCTCTCTTTGGTTCTACTCCTGTCACCAGTCCTTTGCCTAACCCCTCTCAGCCTGTGCTGTGTGTCTCTCAAACTTTAATTTTCTACTTGCCCTTCATGGGCTGGCTTCACCCTCCTCCCCCCACCCTGCCCCCACACCCTGGCTTTTTTTTTTTAATTTTTTTATTGTTATGTTAATCACCATATATTACATCATTAGTTTTTGGTGCAGTGTTCCATGATTCATTGTTTGTTCATAACACCCAGTGCTCCATGCAGAACGTGCCCTCCTCAATACCCATCACCAGACTAACCCATCCCCCTACCCCCCTCCCCTCTAGAACCCTCAGTTTGTTTTTCAGAGTCCATCATCTCTCATGGTTCGTCTCCCCCTCTGACATACTCCCCTTTTCTTCCTCTCCTGTTATCTTCTTCTTTTTCTTTTTTCTTAAAATATGTTGCGTTATTTGTTTCAGAAGTACAGATCCATGATTCACCAGTCTTGTACAATTCACAGTGCTCACCATAGCACATACCCTCCCCAATGTCTATCACCCAGCCACCCCATCCCTCCCACCCCCCACCACTCCAGTAACACTCAGTTTGTTTCCTGAGATTAAGAATTCCTCATATCAGTGAGGTCATGTGACACATGTCTTTCTCTGATTGACTTATTTCACTCAGCATAACCCTCTCCAGTTCCATCCACGTCGTTGCAAATGGCAAGATCTCATTCCTTTTGATGGCTGCATAATATTCCATTGTGTATATATACCACATCTTCTTTATCCATTCATCTGTCACCCTGGCTTTTGACAAGACCCCCTTTATGCTGAAAATCCCATGCTGACTCTACTTCTGGAAATACAGACCAAGTCTGTGTGCAAAATCCTATCCCCTACCCGGACAGCCAAGGTCCCCATTTATGACAAGTCCCAGGGAGTAAGGAATAGCAGCCCTCAGAACTTTTTCACAAATCTCATTAAGTGTTTGGGATCAAATCCTGGCTACTTCATGTTTTCACCATATGACCTTGGGCAAGTCAGTTTCCTGTCTCAGTCTCCTCATCTGTAAGGTGGGTATCATAAGATAGGGTTGTTGGAAGCATCCGCCGTTCAGCATCATGCCTATTACAAAGTAAATGCTCAGTAAATGATGGCTGTTATTATCAGCCTCATTAGCACAGGCCTTCCATACTTTACATTTCTTGCTAGTATCCATTTCCTTAACAGATTCTATTTTTTTAAAAGATTTATTTTGGAGAGAGAGAAAGTGTGGAGGGGCATTAACAGCATCTTGTAATTCTATTATATTTTCTCTTGGTTATGTACCACTCTCTTCTTTTATGTGCACTAAATTTCTGAGCTCAATAGTGAGTTCTCTAGAAACCACATGGATCATTCTAGATTATGCCTTCCTCTCTATGAGAAAACGTATCTAAACTATGAACTGTAAAGTACAATGAAAATGATAATTACTGTATTATTATATCTTGAGATCAATTTCAACCATATTTAGATTTTGAGAGTTCATACCCATCCTTCCATCTTCCTACAGTTCTTTTAAAAACAGTATGGAGCCATGTGTTTATGTGTTATACTGTGAGTTACTTGACATTAAATCCATGTTTCAGTCATAACCCCACCCTCCCATCTTCAACGTTAATAAGTTAATTCTTATATTTATTGAATTTCTGTTATGTGGCAAGCACTACCATGTAAAACCACCGGGGTGTAATTCCTGCCTTCGAGAAACTAAGTTAAGCAGGGAGAGAATTCTGTTTCGGGTTAGCACGTAAAAGATTGCAGCACATCCTCATTCCCGTAGGAACACCAAGAAAAATTTGGATAACATAAAAATCATACAGAGTATATTTTCTGGCCACACTGGAATTGACTTTTAAACCAGTAACAAAAAGTGATCTCAAAAATGTCAGAATAGTTAGGTATTAAACAATACTCTTCTAAAGAAAAAAAATCTCAAGGAAAATTAGATAATATTTTTAACTGAAAGCGAGTAAAAGCACATAATATTTAAATTTCTGGGATGCAACTAAGGTGATGCCAAGCATAAAATTCAGAGTTTTAAGTGCTTCTATTAGAAAATAGGAAAGGTCTGGCAGATGGCCTCTCCTCTGCTGTCCTGCCCGCCACCCCCTTGCAGTGTATTCAATAAACTTCTAGCTCCTTTAAAAAAGAAAATAAAAAAGGTCTAAGATCAGTGATCTAAGCTTCTACCTTAAGAAGCTAATAAAGTAAACAAAGTAAATAGAAGAAAGGAAATAATAAAGAGTGAAAATCCATGAAATAGAAAACAAACGATGGAGAAAATAAACAGCCAAAGAAAAAAAAAGGATTTTTTGAAAAGATCAATAATATTGATAAATCCCTACTTAAACTGAACAAGGAAGAAAATAAAGAGAAAATGCAAATGACCAATATGAAGAATCAAAGGAAAGATACTCCCTCAAATCCTACAGATCTTAAAAGAGTAATAAAAGGATATTATGAACAACTTTATGCAAACAAGTTGGACAATGTGAATGAAATGAATAATCACTTGAAATGTATGCTTTCAAAGCAGACACAAGAAAAAATAAATGACCTGAAATCTGTTAAAGAAATTGAATTCACCATTAAACATTTTTCCCCACAAAGAATGCTTCTGGCTTAGATACTGCCAATGGTGAATTCTATCAAACACTTAAAAAAGAAATAATACCAATCTTAATCTCTTACAGAAACAAAGGAGGTGGGGCTACCTCTTGACCCTTTCTATGAAGCTGTCATATTCCCAATACCAAAATCTGACAATGCACTACCAGAAAATTACAAACCAATATTCCTCATGAACAGAGATGCAAAAATCCTCAGCAAAACATTAGCAAATCAAACCCATCAATATAGAAAAAGGATAACATATCATGGCCGAGTGAGGTTTATCGCAAATAAATGCAAAGTCCATTAAAGTGAGAAAACACTGTAAACCTATCCCATTAAACAAATAAAGGAGAGAAATCCTATTAACATCTCAGCAGATCCAGGAAAAGAATTTGACAAACTTCAGCGTCATTTCATGATAAAACCTCTAGGCAAATTAGGAATAGAAAAGAACTTCCTCAATCTGATAAAAGGCATCTATCAAAACCAGTGGATGATAAAACATGGAGCACTTTCCCTCTAAGGTCCGAAACAAGGTAAGGATGTCTACTCTCACTGGTACTAGTCAACACTGGATATGACTTCTTTCCATTAGGCAGAAAAAGAAATAAAAGTCATGAAGACTGGGAAAGACAAAGTTTAAATAAGATAAAATTATCTTTATTTACAAAGACATGATTTTGCATATAGAAAATTCAAAAGAATCTACCCCCAAATCCTACTGAACCTAATAATTCAGCAAGGTTTAAGGATACAAGGTCAATATAGAAAATGTAGTTATATTTCTATGTATTATCAATAAACAACTGGAAAAGGAAATTAAAATAGCATTTACAATAGAATCAATATCATGAAATACAAAATCACTTTTTAAAAAGACGTGTAAGGCTTCTACACTTAAAACTATAAAATATTATTGAGAGAAATTAAGACAGACTAATAAATGGGGAGAGATATACCATACTTACAGGGCAGTACAACCAATATTGTAAAGATGGTGATTCTCCCAAAACTGATCTAGAGATTAAATGCAATTCCAGTCAAATTCCCAGGAAGGTTTTTGTAGAAATTGATGAGTTGATAAAAATAAAATAGTTGGAGGATTTACACAACCTGATTTTAAGTGTCACTGTAAAACTTTGTGGTATTTTTTTTAAGACGATTTTTTTTTTATGTTTCCATATAAATGTATTAACTTGTCAGTTTCTGAGACAGTAAGTTATTGGTGTAAAGACAGACAAATAGAACAATGGGGCAGAAAAAAACCGCACAATTACTATCTAATGATCTTTGCCAGAGGTGCCGAGGCAAATCAATGGGGCAGGGACAGGCTCTTCAACAAATGATGCTGGAATCTACTCAGTAGCAAAAGAAACATATTATGGATACTTGAAACAACATGAATGAACCTCAGAAATATTGTGTAGCCGACTGAAAGAAGCCAGATGCAGAGGAATATTACTTAAAAGTTAAAATGAAGTCCCCAAACATGCAAAACCAGTCTGTGGGGATAGAAATCAGAATAGTGGTTGCCTCTGGATGGAGGGGGTGAGGACAAGAAAGGGGCACAAAGAAATTTTGTAGAGTAATGGCAATGTTTTATGTCTTATTTGGGGTGTTAGTTAAATGGGTTTTTACATTTATCTAAACTCATTGAATGGTACATTTGAGATCTAGGCACTTTACTGTTATTATACCTCCATAAGTAAATATCAAAAAAAAAAAAACAACCTAGAAGTAGGAAAAGGGGGAAGAAAACACATGAAGAAAAATTATAATATGATTTGTAAGTGTAATGCTAGAGAC